GACAAATACCATATGATCTCACCTATAAGTGGGATCTTTTCAACAAAATACACTAACAAACAAAATAAACCACAGGTAAGGGAACATGGGGCAGGCTGAAAGTGACCAGAGGGGATGGGGAAGGAGGACAATGGTGGAAAGAAGGAGAAGGTACTAAACAAAGAACACGTATGGAGGGCCTATGGACATGGACAACAGAGTGGGAATTGACTGTGGGTGAGCGTGGCAGGGTGGGATGGGTGAAGGGCAAAGGTGGAAAAATTGAGACAAGAGTCATAGAATAAACATGATTTACAAATAAAATAAAAAACAAAGAAATTGTTGGGGAAAAAAAGAAAAAGAAAGAAATGTCCTAAATTTCACTGTCTATGTTTTCTCATAGGATTTTTATAGATTTAAATTTTACATATAAGTTTTTAATCCATCTTGAGTTTATTCTTGTGCATCATGTAAGGAGGTTGTCCAGTTTAATTTTTTTTGCCTGTATCTGTCTAATTCCTCAACACCATTTATTGAATAAACTGTCCTTATCCCATTGAAAAAAATAATAAAAAATAAAATAAAATAATTTTAAAAAAAAAAAAACTAAGCAAACAACCAGAACAGGAACAGAATCGTTGATATGGAGATCATTTGGAGGGTTATCAGCTAGGAGGTGGAAGGAGAAGAATGGGGTAAAAGGTGTAGGGTTTAAGAAGCATAATTAGTAGGTACAAAATAGACAAGGGGATGTTAAGAGTAGTATAAGAAATAGAGAAGCCAATGAATTTATATGCACAACCTATGGGCATGAACTAAGGGGTGGGCTTGCTGGAAGGAATGGGGGTGGTGGGCAGAGAGGGGCAAAGTGGGGAAATCAGGACTACTGTAATGCAATAATCAATAAAATATATTTTTTAAAAAAATGAAAATAACAAGTGTTGGTGAGAATGTGGAGAAATTGGAACCCTTGCACATTGCTGGTGGGAATGTAAAATGGTGCAGCCACTATGGAAAATAGTTAGGCAGTTCTTCAAAAACTTAAACAGAAAGTTACCATAGAAACCAGCAATTCTACTCCCAAAAGAATTAAAAGCAGAGGCTCAAACAGACACCTGTACAAGACTGTTCATAGCAGCATTATTCACAATAGACAGAAAAATGGAAATAACACAAATGTCCATCAACTGATGAATGAGTAAACAAATCCTGGTCTATCTACACATGGAATATTACTCAGCCATGAAAGGAAATGAAGTACAGATACATTCTACAGAATGGATGAACCTGGAAAACATTGTGTTCACTAAAAGAAACCAGACACAAAAAGTCAATATTATAGACTGAATTTCTATAAAATGTCCAGAATAGACAAATCTATAGAGATAGAAAGTAGATCAGTGGCCAAGAGGTGAAGGAAATAGAGGAATGGGGGTGACTGCTAATGGATACAGGGTCTCCTTCAGCGGTGATGAAAATATCTTGGAACTGGAGGGTGATTATTTGATCCACTGTGATGATTTTCATAACATTGTGAGTGCAGAAAATACCACTAAATTATACACTTTAAAATGGTTTTCCTTTTCATTTTTAATATATATTTTATTAATTACTCTATTACAGTTGTCCCATTTTTTTCTCTGCTTTATCCCCCTCCCACTAGCATTCCACACCCACCCTTAGCTCATGTCCATGGGCGGTACATATAAGTTATTTGGCTTCTCCATTTCCTATACCGTTCTTAACCTACCCCTGCCTTTTTTGTACCTACTATTTATGCTGATTATTCCCTGTACCTTTTCCCCCATTTTTCCCCTCCCCTCTGATCTCCATTTCTAGGATTCTGTTCCTGTTCTAGTTGTTTGCTTAGTTTGCTTTCGTCTTGTTTTGTTTTATTGTTTTTTAGGTTCAGTTGTTGATCGTTCTAAATTTGTCATCATTTTACTGTTCATGGCTTTTGATCTTCTTCTTTTTCTTAGATAAGTCCCTTTAACATTTCATATAATAAAGGCTTGGTGATGATGAACTCCTTTAACTTGTCCTTTTCCAGGAAGCACTGTATCTGCCCTTCCATTCTAAATGAGAGCCTTGCTGGACAGTATAGTCTTGGATGTAGGTTCTTGCCTTTCATGACTTTGAATACTTCTTCCCAGCCCCTTCTTGCCTGCAAGGTGTCTTCTGAGAAATCAGCTGATAGTCTTATGGGAACTCCTTTGTAGGTAACTGTTTCCGTTTCTGTTGCTGCTTTTATGATTCTCTCCTTATCTTTAACCTTGGGTAATGTAATTATAATGTGCCTTGGTGTGTGCTTCCTTGGGTCCAACTTCTTTGGGACTCTCTGAGCTTCCTGGATCTCCTGGAAGTCGATGTCCTTGGCCAGATTGGGGAAGTTCTCCTTTGTTATTTTTTTGTGAGAAGTTTTCAATTTCTTGCTCTTCCTCTTCTCTTGCTGGCACCCCTATGATTCGGATGCTGCATCATTTCAAGTTGTCCCAGAGGTTCCTAAGCCTCTCCTCATTTTTTCGAATTCTTGTTTCTTCATTCTGTTCTGATTGAATGTTTATCTCTTCCTTGCGCTCCCAATTGTTGATTTGAGTCCCAGTTTCCTTCCTTTTACTGTGGGTTCCAGGCATATTTTCTTTATTTCACTTTGCATAGCCTTCCCTTTTCCCTCCATTTTGCAACCATACTCAACCAATTGAGTGAACATCCAGATTACCAGTGTTTTGAACTGTGCATCTGATGGGTGGGCTATCTGTTCATCGCTCAGTTCTCTCTCTTTTTTTGTTTTTGTTTTTGTTTGTTTTTTTGGGGGGGTGGAGCTTTGACCTGTTCTTTCATTTGGGCCATATTTCTTTGTCTCAGCGTGCCTCTTGCATTGGGAGGGGCAGAGCCTTAGGTATTTGCCAGGGCAGGGCAACCCAGGTTACTGCGTTGTGCTGCTGTGTGTTGGGGAGGGGCCAGAGAGGGAACAATGCCGGTTGCTCAGCTCCTGGCCTGCTTTCAGTCATTTCCCCTGTTACTCACAAGCAAATTGAGCCCTACTGGTGCTGATTCCCAGGTGGGTGGGTTTGTGTGCATTCTAGGACCCTGTGGGTCCCTCCAACAGACCTTCCTGTGAGGCTGGGAGTTTCTCCTGATGTCACAACCCCCTCAAGTTTTTACCTCCAGAGGTTTTGAGGCTTTCTTTTCCCACACTGGAACCCTGGACTGCATGGTCTATCTCACTCCCCAGCTATTCCTCTGGTGTATCCGTATGCATATGTGGGTCCACCCAGTCTGCGAGCCACTGCCTTACTGCACAGCCTCTCTGCCCTGGTTGCCCATCTCTGGATGACTGTTTCTTCTACTGGTCTGGATGACTGTTTCTTCTTTAACTCTTTGGTTTTCAGACTTTCATACAGTTCAATTTTCTGGCAGTTCTGGTTATTTTTCGTTTTTAAATTTGTTGTTTTTCTTCTTTTGGTTGTGCAAGGAGGTAAAGTGTATCTACCTATGCCTTCATCTTGTAAAGTGTTAATGGTTAATTTTAAGTTATGTGAATTTTACCTGAATAAAAAAACAGAAAAGCATGGGTTATAACCAAACCTCCCAGGTTCAAACCCAGCTCTGCTGCATGACCTTAAGCAAACTCTACACCTCAGTTTCCTACAAAGGGAGAAATCTTTAAAGGGGACTATAGTAATACCCACTTGCAGTGCTGTTGGGAGAATTACATGAATTAATGCCCTTAAAGGAGACTTGGGAGAGGTGTTGGAGCATGGCATGGTAAATGTGTGCCATGTTTTCATTACATAAATCTACCCCTATTACACAGGAAAACCAAAGCCAGGAGGGTTAGACACTTGTTCAAGTTCATGCAGCAAGTTCAGAAGTCATGTCCTGGTTGGCACCCAGCTCTCATGGACTCTAGGCCACTGGCCTTCCCCTGCTGACAATATAATTTGATCCTTAACCAAGAATCTTGACACTGCGAGGTCACAAACCCTGAGAGAAGCACAAATTCTTTCCAGTAATCCCACTTGTGGTTGGCTATCTGGCCTACATACAGGGCAAAACAACAGTTTTAAATTTTACAGCACAAGTCTTTTTGCGTTTTCCCAGTTGAAAGCCTTGGTCATTATAGGGTGACCAAGCAGCCTGGTGGTGACTCTGATCTAGTGGAGAGCTTGTCCCTTCTCTCTCCTATGATCACAAATGTCCTGCCTCAGTTTACCTTGGACATAAGAGAAATTGTCACTATCTTATTACTGTCAGTAGGATCATCCAGAGTCTTTCTCTTCCAGGAAGTGAGGGGAGTAGAAGTCCAGTTCTCCCCTTAGACTGCCTCCCATGTGGACTCCCTTTCCCTGGTTCAGTGTAACATCACAGGGATTTTTTCATAATCAGTTCGATTCCTGTATCTTCAGGAACAATCTAGCTTACTCACTTTCCCCAACATCCACCTTCCTCCCTCAAGTAGAGTGAAATAAACCTACACCCATCTATGTCTAGAAATCCTTCCTGATTCTGTTGGTTGCCTCAAACTGGATAGCCCATGGGAGTCATAGGAGAAACTCTGGGAGGTTAGCTAAGAGAATCATGCCAACTGGATGTTAAATATTGGATCAGATCATCACAAGAAGAAGATAAGAAAAAATGATCCCACAGGAAGTGTCCAAATCCCAGGCTCATAGCTTCTAGTTGCAGAATAACCCAAGGACCTGGCCTCCTTATGCCCTGCCTTCCTTCCTCCTTCATCAGTTTCCACAGCCAACATCAGCTTCCTCCTGGGCTGTGATGTCTGTTCCAGGAGCAGATCCAATCTCGCATATGTGAGATGTGATTAACCTTTGTTGTGGCTACCAATGTTTGTACCTCCAAAAAATTAAGTCTGAAGTCCCCGGGTGGCCATCTGGAGTCATATTCCACCAGAAGACATAGACCAACCAGAAGGATGTTGGGAGGGGTGGCTTATGACCACATTAATACCCCTAGAAGCCTGTTCATAGAACGTATACCTTCCCTCCTTTATCCCCAAGGTCGCTGGATTGAGGATCATGGAGTCATTCACAACATGATGTTTAACACTGAAACAGGCTGGAAGTACTCCTTCAAGACCACACAGAACAAGACTGAGTGGTGGGACAATGGCGTTCTCCCCCTCTGGATCACAGCCCAGAGACAGGTACAGTCAGAAACCCTAGGTTGGCTTCCAGGGATTTTACCTCTCATTCTGTAGCATGTGGGATGGAGATTAGAAGGCGTGTGATCTTGGGCAAGTGACTTCACCTCTCTAAGCCTTTTTTCCCCTAAATGTGTAATAGGAATCATGATGATGTGCTTATTTAATATATTTGATGTAAGGATTAAATGAGATATACATGAAAAGCAGTAGGAACAGGGGAAATGCTCAGTAAATGTTAGCTGTTGCAGATGGACAAGTCAGGGCAGAGACTGGCTTAATTATGATTGTACCACCAGGGCTCACCATAGCATCTGGACCCAGCAGCTCTTTAATAAAAATGTTTATACACTTCCTCAAATTTATGCATAAAAGCCCATAAGAATGAAGTTGACCATTTAATTCATCTTCAGACCATGTAAAGCCCTGATGAGAACATTCACTTGAAAGGATTCCACTGGCCATTCATTATTCATTCATTATTGCTTTGAAAAAGTAGAAATCAGAGCTGCGTGTTCAACTCCCAGTCCCAAAACCTGTTGCCAGCTTTGCATTTTCTCAATGAGCTTCCAGTTGTCACTTCAGGATAGGACCTCTTTCTTCTTCTGCGAGATGCCAACCTTTGCTCCAAAGCTATCCTGGGTTCTGGGACTTCATCTCTGTGGTCCAAGCCGACGCTAAGCATGTTACATTGCAAGGTAGTGTAATTCAACCTTGAGCAATGACCTCTTCTCTGTGCTTGAGTAGTGCCATCTGTAAAATAAAGATTCTCAGGGTCCTTGCCTCATAGAGTCTTTGGAATAATTAATTGAAATAATGCCTGTAAGTGCTTAGATCTAAATGTTCAAAAACTACCAGTCATGCTTTTGAATGGAGGCTGAATCATTTCAGTACTTCCTCAGCTGGTCACTACAGCTCTAGGCCAGAACTATCTAATGGAACTGTCCATGGTAATGGGCATGTTCTATTGCACACATCCAGTATGAAAACCACTAGCCACATGTGGTTATTGATCCCTTGAAATATGGCTAGTGAGGCTGTGGAACATAATTTTAATTGTATTTAAGTTTAATTAATTTCAATTTAAATCTAAATACCAATGTAGCTAGGGGCTACCATATTAGACAATGCAGCTCTAGAAGAATCACGGTGGGTGGTCAGTGATCCTATCCTACCTCATGCTCATTTTTTTTCTATAACTGTTGCACCTTAATTCCTTCCTCTTCTGTAATGTTTTTTAAACTTTGAGGCATATACCATGCAAATAAATTCGGTCTTTCAAGAAAATAACACTCATAACACTATGAGCCAGGCACTGATTTAAGTGCTTTCCATATATTAATGTGTAACAACTCTGAGTTGAGTATGATTACACCCATTTAACAGATGACAAAATTGAAGCACAGAGTGGTGCCATAACTTCTCAAAGTCACAAAGCTAGTGAGAGGCAGAGCTGAAATTTAAGCTCAGCTCACCCTGGGCAGTGGAGCCTTCCCAGAAGAAGAAATTCTGCTTGTGGAATAGCAGTTTCAGCCATTCCAGAGAGTTCCAGACTGCTCTGCCTGGCAGCCTTCCCAACAGATTTCATGCTTGCCTAGCTGGGTTCCAGAATCAGAGACTTCTGGTCAAGATGGTAGTGTAGGCAGACATGGCTCACCTTTTCACAAAAACCACATCAAAATTACAACTAAAGTATAAAACAACCATCACTCAGTACCATCAGATACCAAGTTGAATGGAAGTCTGACAACGACAGAATTAAAGAAACCACATCCATCCAGACTGGTAGGAGGGGCGCAAAGCAGTATGGGCTGGTCCCTCACCCACATGTGGTGGATAAAAATTCAGGAAGGATATGTTGGAAGCAAGGAGTCCCAGCTCCACACCAGGGCCCCCAGCCCAGGGTTCCAGGGCCAGGTAGATAAGTCTCCACAACTTCTGGCTGCAAAAACCAGCAGGGATTGAGTCAGTGGGAGAAACTTCTGGATCTCCAAGCAGTTCCTCTTAAAGAACCCACATATGGACTCACCTATTCATACTCTTTCTGAGTTCCAGCACCAGGGTAGCAGCTTGAAAGGCACCAGTGGCATAGAAGGAGAAACTGAAGTGTCTGGCATCAAGGCAAGCAAACAGAGGCCATTGTCCCTTTTCTAAACCCTCCACCCACAGAGCTGGAAAACTGGTGCCATATCTGAGTTTCCATCAATTTGGCTTACACTGTTTGACCTGCCTTGGAGATCCCAGAGACTCATCCCACCCAACTTATGGACCTACCCAGGCTCCGTTTCCATATGAATGGCTGGTCTTCACTCCTGTTCACAACTTCCTGAATCCTATCAAATAAGCAAGAGCTGGCCTCAGTGAGCCCCAGGCCCAGCACCAGCAGCAGCCAGCCTAGAATCACAGATTGGCTTTGCCTGGGAATCTCCAAGCTCAGCACAAGTAGCAGCCATCTCAGATTGCTTTATAGCTCAGGCAGGGTGGCCCTGGGCAAAACACAAGTTGGGACTGAACTTGGCCTGTACCACCCAGGAAACCCCAGGGCCAGTGCACCCAGTGGACAGCCACAGGCCACGTTGGAGCAGCACCACCCTGTCCCTCCCTGCACAGCTGATCCTCCATGGAGGGCAGAGGTTGGTGGTAAGTGGTCAAAGCCAATCCTTGCAGCTGACTGGCCTGGGTAAATCCCTCCCATTGATATGCCAACAGCAACCAAAGCTCAACTACAAGAGGAGAGTATACTCAGCTCACACAAAGGGCATACCTCAAGTACCCAGCTTGAGTGATAGAGGAGGCTGTGCCACTGAACCTTACAGGACACTTACTACATTAGGCCACCCTACCAAGACATGGAGTCAAAGCAGCTCTTCCAAAGACATAGAAACAAACACAGGGAGGCTGCCAAAACAAGGAGGCAAAGAAACCTGGCCCAAATGAAAGAACAGATCAAAACTCCAGAAAAAAGAGCTAAACAAAATGAAGATAAGCAATCTATCAGATGCAGAGTTCAAAACACTGGTTATAAGGATACTCAAGGAACTTAGTGAGAACATCAACAGCCTAAAAAATATCCAGTCAGAAATGAAGGATGCACTAATTGAAATAATAGAACAATTAACAGGGAAACAACAGTAAAGTGGATGAAGCTGAGAATCAAATCAATGTTTTGGAACATAACATTGGAAGGAAAAAACAACCAATCAGAACAACAAGAAGACAAAAGAATAAAAAAAATGAGGATAGTATAAGCAGCAGCTGGGACAACTTCAAGAGGTCCAACCCAGTGGACAGACCATGTTGGAGCACTACCACCCTACTCCTGCATAGCTGATCCTCCACAGAGAGCAGAGGTTGATGGTAAGTGGTCACAACCAATCCTTGCAGCTGACTGGCCTGGGTAAATCCCTCCCATTGATCTTCCAGGAAGAACCAAAGATGATTATATGGATGCCAGAAGGAGAAGAGAAAAAGCAAGAAATTGGAAATCTACTTGAAAAAGTAATGAAAAACTTCCATAATTTGGTAAAGGAAATAGACATGCAAGTCCAGGAAGCCCATAGAGTCCCAAAGAAAATGGATGCAAAGAGGTCCATGCATGCAAGGTATGATGATGCAAGGCACATCATACTTAAAATGCCGAAGTTAAAGATAAAGAAAGAATCTTAAAAGTAATAAGAGAAAAGAAGTTCATTATCTACAGAGGCGTTCCCATAACACTGTCAGCTGATTTCTCAAAAGAAACTTTGCAGGCTGGAAGGCATTGGTAAATATTCAAAGTCATGAAAAGCAGAGACCTACAGTCAAGATTGCTCTATCCTGCAAAGCTATCATTTAGAATCGAAGGGCAAATAAAGAGCTTCCCAGACAAGAAAAAAAATAAAGCTCATCATCACCAAACCATTATTATATGAAATGCTAAAGGGACTTATTTAAGAAAAAGAAGAATATCAAAACTACAAACAATAAAATGGCAAGAAAATACATATCTATCAACAACTGAATCTAAAAAACAACTAAGCAAACAAGAACAGAGACAGAATCAAGGATACAGAGAGCATCTTGATGGGTTGCCAGTTGAGACAGGGCATTGGGGAATGGATGAAGAGGTGAGGGGATTAAGGAGTACAAATAGGTAGTCACAATATAGCCATGGGTATATAAAGTACAGTAGAGGAAATGGAGTAGCCAAAGAACCTATATTCACGGCCCACGGACATGAACAATGGTGGGGGGAAGTGCCTGAGGGAATAAGGGGTGCTGGGTGGAAAGGAAGGCAAAGGGGAAAATCAGGACAACTGTTATAGCTTAAGCAATAAAATATAATTTTTAAAAAGAAAAGAAAATACCTAAAAATAAGTAAATAAACAAACAAACAAACAGACTCACCCTGGGTTCAGCAACTCTTAACACTTAATCATGACATAATATTATTTCCATGGCCAAAAAATTTAGCCATAGTAAATCATCTATATGCCTAGCTTCAGGAGAGGCCTGGACAGTCTTCTTTATTCACTATTCTAAACCCAGGACCTCTTTAGTCTCTTTCCATGATATTTGTTCACTGGCATACAGCCTCTGGTAGCATTCTCCTTTCCTGTCATTTTTTTAAATATATATTTTATTGATTATGCCATTACAGTTGTCCCATTATTTTTCTCCCCTCTATTCCCCTCTACACTGCACCATCCCTCCCCCCAGCAGACCCCTCATTCTTTAGTTCATGTCCATGGGTCATACATAAAAGTTGTTTGGCTTCTCCATTTCCTATACCGTTCTTAACCTACCCCTGCCTTTTTTGTACCTACTATTTATGCTGATTATTCCCTGTACCTTTTCCCCCATTTTTCCCCTCCCCTCTGATCTCCATTTCTAGGATTCTGTTCCTGTTCTAGTTGTTTGCTTAGTTTGCTTTCGTCTTGTTTTGTTTTATTGTTTTTTAGGTTCAGTTGTTGATCGTTCTAAATTTGTCATCATTTTACTGTTCATGGCTTTTGATCTTCTTT